CTTGGGATTGAGGACAATTAGATAGATAGTGAGATTTTTATTTCCAACAGAAGTATGCTAAAGGTATCTTTAAACGGTTCAAAATGGATTCTTGCAATCCTATTTGACTCCGGTTGAAGAAAAATTGAAACTCGGTAAAGATAAGAATAGTGAGTTGGTGAATACCACATATTTTTAACGGTTGGTGGGAAGTTTACGTTATTTGACTTCCACTAGACCTGATATTATTTTTGGAGTTGATTTTATCAGCAAATACGTGGAGTCTCCACGTCAATCCTACTTGCAAGCAACTAAAAGGATTTGGAGGTATGTTAAAGGTACCCAGAGTGATGGTAATTTTAATTTTCCTACTAGGTCTTGTGAACTTGTAGGGTATATAGACAGTAATTGAAAAGATGATGTGGAAAAAGTCAAAAGTACTTTAGGATATTGTTTTCAAATTGGTTTAAAAAAATTTTTGTGATATTCAAAGAAACAACAAGTTATTGCTTTTTCTACCACTGAAGCAGAGTATAGTGCAGCCACTAGTTGTGCTACCCAAGCAATGTGGTTGTGTCAAATGCTTGGATTTTTGTAGTATGCGCAAAAAATTTCTTCAAAACTTTTCTGTGATATCAAGTCAACAATTGTTTTGTCAAAGAATCCAATTTTTCATGGGAGGATAAAACATATTCATGTGAAGTACCATTATATTCGTGAATTGGTTATTGATGGCGAGATTAAAATTTTGTATAGTCAATCCGAGGATCAAATTACAGATATTTTTACCAAGCCACATTCATGAAGCTTAAGCAAATGATGAGAATGATCAAGATTGAAGAGTTTGGTTCAAGAGAGGCTATTGGAGTTTGACTCAAACTCTCCAAGTGTTTTATTCCTTATTTATTTGGTGTTAATTTACAATTAGAGTTTTAATTGGTTTAAGAGTTTTGACTCGTAGAGTATTCTAATTAGTTTTGAGTAGTTTAATTAAAGTTTTAATAGGTTTAGTGTTATTAGTTTTTTAATAGGTTTTGATTGCTTTAATATTTAAAAGTCTTTACATGGTTTAATGGTGATAGAAGCATGTGTTAAGAAAATTTTCGGCAGTAACCTTATTAGAGAATTCTTTGTTTTGCATCATGCCTTTGATGCCAACTTTCAATGTCTTTTTTGTTTTATCTTTATTGATATTTTTTTTGATTAATTAATTTGTGTGTGAAAGAGATATTTGAGTATTTTCATATTATTTTGATATCTTACAAAGCACCTCACATGGTGCAAGGAGGAGGTGCCTTCTTTTGGTGAGTTTTGTAATGCAATCCGTCATTACCATGCTAGGTGGAAGCTTGATGGTGTTTTAAGGTATTTGGAAAGGATTAGAACAAATAGAAACGAAGGAGGGAGAAGAGAGGCAAAAAAAAAAAACAATGAAGAAAGAAAAAGAAAGAATTTCGGGTTGGTGAGCCAGAGTGTTTCGAGCAGCATGGCTATGACAAACACTTCCTTTCAACCCCCTAAGTTCATGTTTAACTAGTTAAATCAATATTATTTATAAATTGTTACTAAAAAATTCTACTGTGCTACTTTTGACAGTTTCAGATTGACACGATTGAGGTAGAGTTTTTTAATTTCAGAATAAGCGAGATTTTTTTAACTGCTTTTTAAACTTATTAAATATATTATTTATGGTGCTTAAGAGCATCTCTGACAAGGTTATGTATTTTAGCTATCTAAAAGTGTACTTTTTTATTTTAACTACTCACTTTTTTAATACATACTCCAACAGATTTTTTATATTTTAATTACTTTTTTTAAATATTATTTTTCATATCTTGTATCTTTGTTGGGACTATTAAAGGGAGAGAGATAAAAAATGGAGGGAAAGACAAAGAGTGGGCAAGAGAGGAGAGAAATGACAAGAGAATGGAGAATATATTATAAACTATTTGTACATAATATTACAATGATACTCTAAATATAGAACATCACTGTAACAAAAATATATTTTACATATTCTGAACATCTTCTGTTGGAGCATATTTCTTGCTTTTGAATAGCTAAATTTTAGCTATTTTGGAGTTTTAGTCATTCTCTTGGGAGTGCTCTAATATGGTTTTTGAACTATTGATTGGGTGATTTTGAATTGACTCATAATTCGGACTCGGTTAGGGTTTTGATGTAGGTTGAGCACGGTTGTTTGTATTGATTGTATGAAATGAAACTCCGGGATCATTTTCTATGAAACATAAGTGCACACAATATCAAGTGACAAAGGTTTTACGTTCTAAGTTAAAATTATAGAGGTTTACATGGAGTTTGTAAATGCTTGGGTGGTTTAGTTGGTCTTCAGGCTTGGATACCGAATTAGATCTTATTAAGTTAGGGAGCGTATCTTCCTTGGGGTGCAAGTCCCCTAAATGATTGGTTCATATTAACCCTGAGTGGTACATTATAATTATTTTCTCTCTAGGGTGGCACTGTATTGATGTTGTGATCATATTACTGCCTTTCAAACTTAACTGTTTTCGCTCAATGTTTATTGTTATATTATTTATATATGAAATGAATTATTTTGATGCCCAATCATGTCAAATTACTTATTTTCAAACTCGTATGTTTTGGAATTGAGTTATCTCACTGTGACTTTCATATGACAGAACTTCAACTAAACCCTCATGTGAATATCCGCATTCATCTAAAGAGGATATCGTTGGTCCAGGGCGTCTTGCAACACAATAGCTTAAATTCATAAGCTCAAGGGAAATCCACTATTGAATTACTCAATAATGTCAACCTACCATAACAAAACATTACTGGAAAAACCTTTTTCTTGGAAAAATAAAATTATAATGAAATAGTCTATCCTTTAATAAATGCATCCTACACACACACACACACACATATATAATGGGTACATTTGGGGCAGGGCGGGGGTAAATGTAAGTCCATCCCCGTATGAGTTTATACAAGTATCCCCCTATACGTCCACTGAAACGGGACGAGTTTGGACGAATACCTATTTTTTCTCGGTCCACGGTCATCCCTAGTTATAATAAACCAAATAATTACACAAAATTATGACACATCCCAATTTGTCATTTAGTTCTTTACGTAAATTAAAGAGTTGCACCATTTAGTATCACTACATGGTTACACCAAAATTGGGTTTATCATTATACAAAAAACTTTACCATTACACCAAATATATACACTAAATTTTGTTTAAAGGTAAAGTTTTTTGTGCAATGATAAACCCAATTTTGGTGTAATCATATCGTGATACTAAATGATGTAAATCTTTGGTTTATGTAAATAACTAAATGACAAACTGGGTTGATATTGTAATTTCGTGTAATTATTCAGTGTAACTATTTAGTTTATTTGAATACATGAGTAACTGTTTGGTGTATTATTGAGTAATTATAACTAATTGATATAACTGATTGATATAATTACGAGAGAATAAGGAGATAAAGAGTAACGATGATAGAAAATAGGGGGGAGAGAAAGAGAGAGAAAATAGGGGAGAAATGAAAAATTAAATCAGATTGTTACATATTTGAAAAATAAATAAATTATCAATGTGTGAGTGAGAGATGGATAGAAAATAGGGAAGAAAGAGTGAGAGTGTAATGGAGAGAGAGTATAATGGAGTAATAAATGACATTTTAGTTTTTTTTTCCAAAAAAATTCCTTAGGGCCAAACAAATTTTCTTAATGTAATTTAACTCAATTAAATCTAAATTTTTGTACCCACCTCCATATTCCCCAAAAAAGATATATCAAAGTGGATGTTGGGGTCTTGACCAAAAAAAAAAAAAGGCTTCTTTGGAAGTCAATACACTTAATTAGACTTATTTGACAAAAATTACATAGAATAAAATATTTTGTAAAAAAGTACAACTGAAATAGAAAGACGTAAATGCCAATTTTAGGGTCATTCAATTCAAAATCTCTTATCTTTAATGAACCTTAATTAATGTGTATTTTGTTAATATATATATATGAGAGAGAACTTTAATATTCCATATTTATATGTCCTCCCTTGATTCAGGAATTTTTTTTTTGGAAAGTGATTTTGTTTTCAAATTATATTTAATACACCTTGATTCATGCATTTTTTTTTGGAAAGTAGTTTTATTTTTAAATTAATTTAATATCCAAATAGTGTAATAATATAACAATAACAGTGTAACAGTGTAATAATAATAGTGTAACAATAACAGTATAACAAGCTATATATACAAAATATTGTACTATTACATTTTGTCAAACATATAATTTCACTCAAAACAGTCCATCTTAGTTTTGAATTTGTTACTACATACACAAAACTACTTAACATTGTTTTTGTTATACTGTTATTGTTACACTATTTAGATATTAAATTAATTTAAAAATAAAATCACTTTCAAAAAAAAAAAAAAACGCATGAATCAAGGTGCATTAAATATAATTTGAAAATAAAATCACTTTTCAAAAAAAAATATGCATGAATTAAAGTGTATTAAAGACAATTCAAAATTTAGATAAGAGATTTAACAATAAGTATGTGTGTATATATATAATTAATGTACCACTTTTCAAAGAATATATTTAATGCACCATTTTCCAAAGATAATACACATAGATCAATAGAGGACAAAAATGTCACAAAAAAATCAATAAAATTCAAATCATGTACTTAGATACAAATAAGTATCAAAATTAAGGACTTAATTACTTAATATTTATTTGTGTGTACTTTTTTACAATTAAGTTTAATTTGGATACCTCATTTCAAAATGGATGTTAGAGTTTATGTTCCCTCAACCCACTTGGGACCCGACCAAAAAACAGGAAAAAAACCCACTTGGGCTAAGCCCTGCCTTCTTTCAATTAGGATTGGAATGGGCTGGGTTTGTTACTTTCAAATTCAGAATCACAGCCCAGTTTGGGACCAAATTTTTTACCCACTCTCTGTATTTTTTTGTTTTTTGGATTTTTTTCTGCTAAGAAACTCTCGTCTCGAAGCTCAGCCGAAACACTAGGATTCCAGTTTCAGGGCTTTTCTCTCTGTACTGGATTTGAAAGGAAGTAGAAGAAAGCCCATCAAAGGTTTGATCTTTAGTTGTTACAATGAATATTATTGAATTGGGTATTTATATTTCTGTTTGATCTATTTTTTAAAACTTTGTAATTTTTTGTACGATTCTCTGATCCTTGTTCTTTTATTCTCTTTAAATCTTTAGTTGTTTAAGTTTAATATTTTGCCACAAAATTTGCGCCTTTGATGTGATTTTATTGTTTTGTTATAGGTAAAAAGAAAATTAAAATTACCAGCCAAAAAAAAAAAAATTAAAATCATCTCAAAGATGCCTGTGGGATTGTGTGATTGATGGGTCATTTTATTTCATGGGGATTAAATAGTGATTTTTTTTTTTGATGTAAGAGTACTATTTGAAGCGAGATTATTTTGTTATTGTCATTCTCTATAATTTTTTTGTTTTTGTTTTTAATTTTATAGGACATGATGGATTATAAAAATTCCAATTTTGTAGGAGCGACACCTATTTGGGAATTTTTTTTATGTTCATAAGAACGAAAAGACACTTTATAATTTTCCAGCAAAAATTAGAAATTGTTTATTTTAAAGAAACAATGAAAATAATCTCAAGGGCCGAAAACAACCTTGTTTCAAAATTATCTGTCCCCTTTTTTTTCTTGCATTAGTGGGTCATATGCCATTAGTAAATTCGTGAAAACCATTGAAGTGGCAACAAGAAGGCATAAATTAAGAGAGAATCGATGTAAATGGTTTTGACATGTTTATAGACAAACTGGTATTACACCAATGAAAAAGAGTTATGCGATAGGTATTGATGGTAATGTGAGAGATAGGGGTATAATGAAATTAACTTTGAATTGAAAATGATGTGATAGCTTGTGATTTAATGCAAATATGACACTTAATAGAGCTTAATGGAAGAACATTATTCATATAGTTGATTCCAAATATCGATAAGTTATTAGTTATTTTTTGAGTTGAGTTCTGAAATATAATTGTTTATCCCTCCTTTTGTCTTCAGTTAGATGATTTTTGTTTGGGCATATCTACCTTTATCTCTTGGTACTTGTGCTCAAACAGTAATAAACCAAGATGTTGCATGGTTGGACTGTGCTTAAAAGTGGTTATTAGTTAGGCGCCTATTGATGATTTTTTTAATTTGATGAGTCGGGTTGAAATTGTTTTATGCAGGAGATGGATTACATGGACATTGATCACATCACCGATGTTCCTGACACCCCTGATAGGTTGGCTGGTGAGAATATTAGTGGTGGAGGTTGTATACAAAAGGAGACTAATCTGCCCGTGGCTGATCATTCAGAAGATATGGATATCTCTGATGAAGGGGATAGAGGCCAGCTAAGGGGAGATAATAAACTAGTAATGGATAATGGAAGCACAAGACTGTCCTCCTGTCCTTCAAAACATCCCTATATTTTTGACAACTCCAAATACCACATTAGTTCCACAGTTTCTGCAGTGGGGAATCCATCTTCATCCAAGAATGGTTTTTTACTTAGAAGAAGCATGGCAGACAAGACCGCCAATCATGAGAGTGCAGAATCTATTCACTGGCAACAAAAAGAGAGAGGAAAAGCTTTGCTTATTTCCCAGTCATCTGCTTACCAGCACAAAGCTGTTGTAGATTTGACAGAAAAGAAGGGGCATGCCCAAGAATTTGAAGAGGCTTTTCGAAGTGGGGCTGTAGGAAATAGTCAAGCTGAAGAATTGACAGCAACCGCATGGGCCAAGGGTTTTTCTTCCTTACAAAGCATGGAAAATGGTTCAGCAACATCCACCAATGGCTATAAAGGAAAAGAAAAGGTAGATGTGTGTAAAGTTGGTTCAAGTTTTGGCCGTGGAAAAGGGATTGACATTGTTGATGCTTCTCAACCTAGAGCAGGAAAGCGCTCATCTGCATTGGTTCATTCTATTACCTTTCCTAGAGTCATAAGACAAAAAAAATTGGTGCGAAATGGATGTATATCTCCACATAATATAGCGAAGGCAAAACATGTAGCTGCGAAGCATGGTAATGTTAATGTTGGACAGAAAACTACCGGGTGTATGGAATCTAATTGTCCACCAAATCTGATAAATTTAAGGGATTTGATCACCGAAGACAATAATTCTCAAGGAGACACCGGAAAAGGGGTCACAAATCATCCTTTTTTGCTAAAAGATCCTGAAGTGAAAACCATGCATTTGTCTAGCAGGTATTTCATCTGCGGTGCAATGTTTTGGTCAACTAAATTTCTTAACTCTTTGCACTTCTTGATAACCTGCTTACAAATCTTTACAGTGATTTGAGTTGTCATTTAATCTTTATCTTCTTAATTCTTTGGTCTCCTTCCCAAATCTGGTTAAATTTTACTTTGTTTTGAGATTGTTCTACTGGTAAAAATTTTAATTCCATTGGTCAGATCTTTATGAGATCAAGTTCTGTTCATTTCTGTTTGAGAAGTGGTCTGAGTCTCTGAGATATGGTGTATTGTGAATCCTGAGCAAGTTTTTAAGGATTCTTGCATGGCTTGTTGGTGAATTAAATAAAAAATTGTAAGGAACTATTAAAATCTATTTCTTGCTGTTGGTAGAAATCAGCTTCTTGTATGCTTGCAGGAGTTCAACAAATTTTAATGAGAAGGCCAATGTAACCAGCAATGCCAGTGGAGATACAGTTAGGTGCTTTGAAGGATTAAGTGGAATAAATAATACTGACAACCGATTGAAAAACTTAAGATTTTCCTCGTCTGATGAGGACCAACATATTTTCAGGGGAAAGGGTGAACCGTGTGTTGTCCTTCAACAAGACGAGAACGGGGTGGTGAGAAGGGACATTGGTAATGGGAGTAGTGCTAGAACTGATAACGAGTATCCTAAGAATCTGGATTTGATCTCTTGTCAGCATGGCATTGCTCCAGTTGTATCTCAAAGGTTGTCATATGTTAGGCCTCAGTTGCTTCAATCTGATGAGGCTTCTCTTTCAGAAAACACAACTGTCAGAAGAGAGAGGCCGGGATCCATTTCCAGGAATCATGGTGAATGTTCTACATCTGCATTTGATGACTCTGAAATTGTGTTTCTGGGCTCAAGTGGGGAATCACTGAATCCAAGATCGGTTAGAAACCAGAGTTGTCATGATTTAGGCATTTTGGATCCAGTTATTAACCTTGATGAGTTTTCCCCTGAAGTGAGACATGGCAGCTCCCATACTATGGGTTGCAGTAGTTATAATGACTCAGGTGCCAGGGCCAGACAGGTAGAAGCTGATGAATTGTTGGCTCGTGAGCTCCAAGAGCAATTATATAATGAGGTGCCTGGAGTTGCCGTTGGAGAGGTTTGCCTCTTTTATTTTCCCTTATTTTTATTAACTCATTTTCTGGTGCTTTGTTAACATTTTTCTCAATGTTGTTTAAACTAAATGACAGATTGATGCACATATAGCATTGGCGTTACAGCAGGTAGAAGACACTCAGCATGCTTTTTCTAGTGGAAGTCACCAGATATTCCATCCTGTGAGTGGGTCTTGTTATATGTAGAAATATTCAAGATTTCCCATGACTTTCTGATACAATGTGCTCTTTAGATGTTGGAGATGTTATGAGTAGTAGGAAATATAGCTATAATGATACCTTTCATTTGCCTCTCAGTTTGGAACCTTGTGAACAAGCTTGATTTGGGCATAAGCCGAAACCAGTGCTTGGCTGAAACTAGTCAGGATACCAACTGGTTTCCTTTATGGTACTTGAAATATTTAGGAGAGAAAAAAGGGATACAAACTAAGTGTAGAGCCCCTGTATATATAGTCAATGAGAGTTACCATAAGTACAAAAAGGTAAAAAAGAAAAATTTAATAAAATCCTAATAAACTAGGCTGCTGGTATATCTCTAACACTCCCCCTCAAGCTAGGCGCAAAAATGTCAATTAAGCCAAGCTTGACAACGGAGTCCCGAAGAATAGACAGAGTGACAGGTTTGGTAAAAACATTGGCAACCTGATCACTGGTCCCCACAAACGATAGAGTGACAATACCACTGCTAACATTCTCCCGAAGAAAGTGAACATCAATCTCTATACGCTTCGTCCTCTCATGTAGTACAGAGTCAGAAGCGAGTTGAATAGCAAATCGATTATCACAATATAATGTGGAAGGAGAGGTCACTAAAAAACCCAACTCGCCAAGAATCGATCGTAGCCAAATAATCTCACACGTGCCAAGTGTCAGTGCTCGATACTCTGCTTCTGCTGACGAGCGGGAGACAACTGTCTACTTCTTGCTCTTCCAAGAGATAAGATGAGTCCCTCGAAAAGCACAGAAGCCCGTAGTAGATCGACCATCACATGCTCCCCCATAATCTGAATCTGAATAACAGGCTAGAGAACCGGTCTGAGATCCTAATACATAAAACAACCCAAGTCCAGGACAAGACTTGAGGTACCGAAGAATTTGATAAACTGCATCAAGATGAGGCTGACATGGCCTGTGCATGAACTGACTAACTCGGCTGACTGCGAATGAAATGTCCGGCCTAGTATTGGCTAAGTAGATAAGTCTACCTATTAATCTTTGATAAACTGTCAGATCTTTCAACTACTCACCTTCAGCAGTAAGCTTCAGGTTGGGTGATGATGCCGGTTTGCACCCCAACATCCCAGTGTCTGAAAGAAGATCCAAAACATACTTTCTTTGAGAAAGAACAACACCCCTGCCGCTACGGGCAACCTCAATCCCAAGAAAGTATCGTAGAAATCCAAGGTCCTTCACATCAAAGGCCTTCCCAAGGTCTATCTTGACCTGCGTAGTCCTAGAAACATCATCACCAATAATAATAATATCATCAACATATACCAGAAGAATGACACACTGTTCAGAAGTATTTCGTCGAATAAAACAAGTATGATCAGAATGACACCTGGTGAACCCCAATCGTACGACTACATCACTAAAGCGAGAGAACCAGGCTCGTGGCGACTGTTTCAGTCCATAAAGAGACTTACGCAGTCGACGACATACCTTTCCAGCATACTCTCCCTCACCACGAAAGCCCGGTGACGCATCCATATAAATAATCTCGTCCAGATCACCGTGAAGAAACGCATTCTTCACATCTAATTGATGAAAAAGCCAAGAGTACTCCACAGCCAGAGAAATAATCAATCGAACAGTAGTCAATTTTGCCACGGGGGCAAATGTAGCACCAAAATCACGACCTGGTACCTGAGTAAAGCCCTGCGCCACAAGTCTAGCCTTGTGACGATCAATAGTACCATCCGCAAGAAACTTCAGGGTGTAAACCCAGCGACAGCCAACAGGCTTCACCCCTGAAGGTAAGGAGACAAGATCCCATGTATGATTACGCTAAAGAGCGTTCATCTCTGTCTGCATGGCAAGAACCCATTGGGGTTCTCGCATAGCCTCCAAAATAGAGCGAGGAACCGGCGTATCTGATAAGGCCATAGTATAAGCTCGAAATGTGGGAGACAGATCACCATAAGAAACATAAGCAGAGATCGGATATAAAATCCTGGCGGTCCAACCATAACGATCAACTGGACGGCGATCACGCCGCGGATAACGACGCCCTAAATCATACTCCTCCATTGATAATGTCTCATCAGGTAAATGAACTGGTTCAGCACCTGCAATCTCATCAGTACTAACAATAGGTGCATCAATATGCTCAACAAACTGAGAAGTATTACCTGTATCGCCTGAGGTAGAGGGGACATCAGCAGGGTGATGAGAGCGAGGGCGACAAACATACACCTGCAAAGGAAGAGAGACTGGTAACTCTGTACTGACAGAGATGAGTGGCTCTGAAGGAGGAGAAACAGATAACCCTGTAGGGATAATGACCAATGACTCTGACTCCTGTGGTAATGGAAAATTAAAGGAGTATCATCAACTAGAGGGGCAGACACAGGACTGGGAGGAAAATAAGGAATATGCTTAAGAAAGGTAACATCTAGACTGTGATACATACGGCGCCTGATAGGATCATAACACCGATACCCCTTAGATTGATGACAATAGCCCACAAAGATACACCGAATTGCTTTATCATCAAGTTTATGACGAGTAGGAGATCGATCCTGAACAAAACATGTGCATCCAAAAACACGAGGGGGGACCGGAAAAAGTGTCCGCTCAGGAAATAAGTCCTGTAAGGGAGCCTTATGCTGAAGAACATGACTCGGCGTACGATTGCACAAAAAGGTAGAAGTCAAAATAGCAAAATGTCAATAAAATTTTGGTACCCTCATGCCTCTAAGCATACAACGTACCATCCCTATCAAACTCCTATTTTTCCTTTCAGCTACACCATTTTGCTCAGGAGTATATGGACAAGTGAGTTGCTGAAGAATATCCTGAGAAGAAAGGTGAGACACTAAGGCATCAGACACATATTCTTTGGCATTATTCGAACGAAGAGCACGAACAATGACATTGAATTGTGTTTTAATCATTTGTAAAAATTGAGTAATTATAAGAAGTACATCAGACTTTCTATGCAAAAGATAGACCCAAGTACAACGGGTATGGTCATCTATAAATGTCACATAATATCAGGCACCTGACAAAGCAGTAACGGGAGAGGGTCCCTAAATATCAGAGTGTATTAGGTCAAATGACTTAGGTGACTGGTGCATGCAAGGAATATAACTGGCCCTAACATGTTTCGATAGGGAACATATAACACAGTCAAGTTTACCACCAACACAAACATTGCTCAAAGCAGGAAACATCATACATAAATATTTAAAATTTGTATGTCCAAAATGGTCATGCCACAACTGAACAGTTTGTGACGAAAAATCATAACAACTACAAGGTAAAATACTAGCATGCAAGCTAGGAACAGAAAAGGACAAAGCAGGTGCAGGTGATGTAGGTGGAGGAATTGGTGAAACTGGAGGTGGATTGCCAAGATAATACAGTCCATCTTTCTTATGTCCCCTAATAATAATCCTCCTGGTACTCAGGTCCTGCAAATAACACGAATCAGATAAGAATACAATCGCACAGTGAAAATCTTTGGCTAACTGATGTACAGATAATAGATTCATGGTCAACTTTGGCGCATGAAAAATCGAACGTAATGTAAGGCCATCTGGGAGGCGGACTATACCCCTACTAACAATAGGGGCATGTGTCCCATCTGCTAACTGAACCTGTGTATGTAACTGCTCGTCAAAAGTGGTGAAGTGATGGGCCTCGCCTATCATGTGACCATTCGCACCCGAGTCCAACATTCAAAGGGGAGATGAATTGGCACAAGCGTGAAAGGCACGAGGTATACCTGTAGTGTGACAGCAGCAGTAGTCAGACTCTGAGAAGTCAGAGTAGACATAAGTATATCTAATCGAGAAGTAATAGCATCCATATCACTCTGCCAAGGTGGAGCAGCAGCAGCAAGAGTAGCGGTAGTGGTGGTGGTACCTCAGCAATAACAATAGTACGGCTGCGAGGAGGCAGCTTAAGCTCTGGATGGAGCTTCCAGCAAGTAGCCCTGAGATGTCCTGATCGGCCACAATAATCACAGTGACAGGAATCCCCCTGTCTGTGCTGATCTGAGGCACCCGGACGAGAATCCCCTTGTCTGCGCTGATCTGAGGCACCCTGACGGCGCTGATCTGAGCACTGCCCACCCCTGACTGAGGATCCTGAACGAGACCCTGCAACAACTGCAAGGGCCATCTGGTCAGTCGAAGGAGTCAAAGCCGCAACTGAAAGTGATGCAATACGGACTCGACGCTCATGTTGCTCAATCATCCTATACACCTCATAAAGAGAAGGAAGTGTCAACATCGACAAGATCTGAGAACGAGGTCCCTCAAACTCATCACGAAGCCCCATAAAGAACTTGTGAATCCTATTCTCCTGCTCTCGAGTATGCAAGAATGCTGCTCCCTCGGGCTCTATCTTCGGAATAGCAGCAAGAGGACGTAGAGTCTCATACTCAAGCCAACGCTGGGTCAAATAGCCATAATAATCCTGAACGGTCATATCTCCCTGCCGAGCATATGAGAGCTCCTGAGAAAGCTCATAAACACGAACTCTCCGTCCTGACTGAGAATACATCTTTGATAGTGCGTTCCATAGCTTCGGAACAGAGCTATGAAACTGGTAGATCCTGCAAACAGATGGCTCCATCGAGCCAAATAACCATCCAAGAATAGCGCAGTTCTCAGAGAACCACGCAGAATATCCAGGGTCGGCATCAGTTGGCTTTGGGTGAGATCCCGTCAGCCAACCAAGCTTCCCTACACGGCCCAAGAAAAGCTAGAATGAACGTGACCACTCAGCAAAGTTACGACCATTCAACAACTGTGTCGTAACCTTCTGAGAGATCATTCCCAGCATTGCCGGTAAAGTAACTGTGTCAGTAGGTACTGTGTACTGGTCAAACATAAAAATAAGAGAAACAGGCAGTACATGCCCGGTGGAAGTACTAATAGAAGCCTCAACGGTAGATGTATCAACAGTAGAGGACTCAAGTCCCACAGTAGCCATATCAAAAATAATACTGGGGCACCCGTAACAGAAAAATAACTCTTAAGATAAATAGAGAGATAAAATAAAAGAGAACAATATACCTTCAGTCGAACAGTAGCGACAAATAAAGAAGGTCCAGAAAGCTCCCAAATAATCAAGTTACGGTGCCCAGAAATCCAATAAATATAAATGATCTTACTGCATCAAGAGCAGATCAACGGACAGAGAAGAGAATTTAACCCTTCATAAAAATTATCCTAGATACTGCAACCTGGTAGCATTGTGATGAAGAGTGTAAAGGATGAAGCTAAAACACGAAATACAACCCGGCAGTAGGCTGGGCGTCGTGTGTATTGGTATGGTATATGTGTTTGACACAGTGGAGCTGGTTTGATGGATGGGCTGAAAAAAAAAATGGGTCGGATAAAGTTCGGTGTTTTGCTACTGGGTTGTTATGTCTAGCTGGGTATTTGTTGCCGTCGGTTTCACAAGTGTGGTTGCTGGTTTCGCAGGTGTGGATGCTGGCAGAATTGTTGTGCGCTTGCTGTCGCTGGCTGGATTGATGTTGGTCGGTGGTTTTGATGTTGGAATGTATTGAGATGCTGGTCTGGGTTCTGGTTTGTCGCTGCAGGAGTTGCAGGATGATGGTTTAGGTGTAGGCTGGTTGTGCTTCTGACAGTGATTGAGGTTTAATGGAGTTGCTGGGTAAGATTGCAGTGGTAGGTAGACGGTGGAAGGCTTGTTTCGGTGTTGCGGCTAGGGGCTGGAAGACTGTTATGAGGATAGGCAGTCGGTGTGGCCTGGTATGGGTTTCGGCAGTTTGCCCGTGAGGCAGTCTCGGTGGAGGCTAAGGTTAGGGAGAAGGTTAGGGTTTGGGGTAGGGTTAGTGTATGGCTCTGATACCAACTTGAAATATTTAGGAGAGAAAAAAAGGATACAAACTAAGTATAGAGCCCCCGTATATATAGTCAATGAGAGTTACCATAAGGACAAAAAGGTAAAAAAAAAAAATTTAATAAAATCCTAATAAACTAGGCTGCTGTTATATCTCCAACAATGGTGTTGGTAGATTACCCAAATTCTGACATTGCAGCTATTCATGCATATATTACTTTCAAAGAGTTGATACTATGGGGGTGACAGATGTATGTTAAAAGAGAACTCATATTATGATTAAACAACACATGGAGAGATTTCCTAGGGATTTAGAGAGGTTGTAATCGCTGGAAGTTGAACTTCTTGATTTGGATAAATCTCATGATGGCCTTCCTCGGAAGGAGATTATAATATTGGGGCTGATTGCCTGGAGAGAATGTTCTGCTATATCCTGCTGGTCTTAGCATATTACTTGTAGATCAATATTGGACGGGAATCAGGGACGATATACGCATAAATTTGTGAATTTGTTGTGCTTTTGTAACAAACATATGAAAGTGGATGAATTTGTTAAGAATGGGTAAGATGATGTTTGTAGGAGCTTTTGGGTGGCTCTGCTGAGCTTATCAAGTGCTTCTGTACCTGTCCAAAAGCCCATTTATGACGCAGCGGAAAAAAAGAACACTACAATTCTAAGTTTATAGAACACATACTCTGAATTTACAGGGAAAACAATAAGAGAATATCTCTAAAAAAGTATATTATTCCCTGAATAATCCATATTAAATGAGAGAATATATGTAGGAATAGTCAAAACCCTAATCATCTCTATAATAAATGTAAAATCCCTAATTATACGAAAAATACCAAAAATGAAAAATCGCAATCTAACTAACTAACATAAAATCACGTGTCGTCTAGAGTCTAACAATACTGATGGCACTGAATTCAGAATCTCCTATGATTATTAGTTTTCAAATTTTTTCCTAAAACAGAAAAAATGGGATTTTGAGGACCTAAAAGATGAAATTCGATCCAAAACTGAAAGAGCACATGGCGAAGCGATGAATCTTGATTGTCGACCCAATCCAAATCAAACACCATTGGTCTCAATCAATTCCAAGTCCGAGTCATTTTGACTCTAATATCACCTTTTTGCCTTTTTTGGATGCACAACGGTCTTCCTACTCCAAGTAATCAGGAGCTACCTATTCTACATCAATTTAGTAGAAACTAGTAGTAGTAGCTTTTAGGACGGCTTCTTGGAAAGCCAAACAGAAACAAGCCTTGCTGTGTGACATATTTTAAAATGATATTGTGATGAAAAATAGCTTAAAAATTGGTGTGTTGAGAACTTTGTCTAAAATTTCTTCACAGAGTTTATTTTTTCTTAGTAATGTTAGAAAAAGCTCAATGACAATTTTTACTTGAATTCTGATGTATTTAACCTTGAACACGGTTAGGTTGAGCTCAAGAACATTAATTGGTTAATTCAATTTCAGTATCTTTCGGCATTTACCTGGGTCGCCCCACAGTTTTCTCTCATTTTAGGTGGCCTTGATGGCTTAATTTATATGGGAGATGGCATTTTGTGCTGAGTCAACTAGCATCCAAAAGCAATTCCTGAAAAATTGCCTCATTATGTGGTCCATTTTGTTGTATTTATAATCAAGCTATTTCGGTAGATATTGTGTATTAATTTTTTATTACCAAAACACAGTTATTTTCAAACAATTGTTGTCATATTTAGGATCTGATTTTGGGATTTCTGTTACTAATCTCTGAAAGATAATTACTATTTGTTTTCTGAAATCTTAATTTGCTATTCTTTGATGCAGAGAAGCTCAATGATACCAAACTTGTATAGGCAGCCACAATCACTATCTTCCCAGAATCCAACAATGCAAAGAGTCCCTCAGGCCCGAGGAACAAGGCTGGCACAACCGAGAAATCGTTTTCCTGGACAACCTCGTACAATATCAGCTCAAGCAAGAAATTCCCTATTTCCTCCAAATATGGATGTGGAGATGGTATTGATTTATATTTCCTTCCTTAGTTGTTGTATCTTTCAATACAATATATAAGCATGAGGTAGCGCCACAAGGAACCCCAGACCCCGTGAGTGAGGTACTAAACCCCAAAACAACCATCAAAAGTCGCAGAAGAGCCCCTGCATCGAAGAACCAAAAGCACTGAGCAAGCAAAGCTATTAGTAGTCAAATAAAGCAAGTGACAAGAAAAAAAGTCTAAGCAAGAAATTCTTGCTTCTATCTATTGCTACACTTTGCCCGTAGTCTTTATTGAAAAGAGAATAGATTCTTTCTTTATCCTTTAGTGGGATTTTGGTAGGACCCCATTAGAGGGAGTGATATGAATGTAGGTCGACATTATAGATTTTGAATGTAAGGAGTAGGATCTCTTGGTTATGGGGGTACAATTAAGAAGTAAAAGTTACAATATTATGTTAGGAGAAAGAGAGAAGAAGAGAAGAAGATAGAGTAAGAAAATGAGAATAATTTGCGTGTAGGCTAATGTTGCCTACACTCTCTTATTTATAATAAATTGAAATTATGGGTAATTACAATATTACCTACATTACTAATGATATATAATAAGAACTCTAACCTTCCTCCCTCAAGCTAGAACATAAAGATTAATGATGTCCTGCTTGGAGAATGATGTCTCCCTGTTGATCTCCAGACTTTTAATGTATAGTATGATATCTCCCGGGCAATTCACTTCGATGTATTTAGTCATCTTATGAAATATCGGATTACTGGCAATAAAAATAGTTGTCTAGTTATCACAATGCATCTCCATAGGAGAGGGCACATTGATACCCATATCATAAAGTAGGTAGCGAACCAACATCTCACATGCAGTATAAGTCATGGTCTGGTATTCATTCTCTGCACTCGAACGTGTAAATACATTATATTTTTTGTTGCGTCAAGTATCAAGATTATCACCAATAAATGTACAGTAATCCGAAGTAGATCTTTTATCAACACGAGTACCTTTGTACCATTATTACTATTCCAAATATCAATAATATTGGCATTTCTTATCAAAAAAATCAACTCGATTACGTGTCCAGTTATCATAAAAAAACCAGTAATAGTGATGAATGATGAAGTACGATATAATAATCATTTATCTGAGGCTCCATTCAAATTTTGAAGAATACAGTGGGTAGCCTCCCAATGAGGCTTACGAGGTGCATGCATGAACTAACCACACCAACAATATGGGTAATAATAGGACGCGTAATTGTGACATAAATTAGCTTACTAACCAATCTTCGATAGCGTCCTACATCATCCAAATTGCATCATTCTCATCATCTAACTTAACTACAATATCCATGGGAGCACCAGTTAGACATGCTCCAAGAGTACTAGTTTCAGACAATAAATCCAATATATACTGCCTTGGGCATAAATCGATACTTTTTTTTGATTGAGCAATCTCAACCCCAAAGAAGTATCCAAGAAGACTTAATTTTTTGGTATCAAACTGCTTTCCAAATTGGATCTTCAAGTGGGCAATACTATCTGAGTTATTACCATTAATGATAATGTCATTAATATGCTCAATAAGAATAATAACACTTGTGGAAGAACGACGAATAAAAACTGAATGGTACGAGGTGGAACATTAAAAACCATACTCTAGTACAACTATACTAAACTTATCAAACCAAACACGTGGTGACTTATCAAACCAAAAACGTGGTGGTGACGGTTTCAGACCATATATTGTGTTCTTCGGACATCACAATAATTGTTCTTTACCAGATGCAACATAAACTGGAAGTTGCACCATATATAACTCCTTTTGTAGGTTTCCATGTTGAAGAACATTCTTAATGTCTAGTTGATACAACGGTCAACCATAACTAACTGCAACAAAAATAAGAACTTAAGAAATTTAAGACAAGCAAAAGTGAAAAAAGTCTCACAGTAATCCATATCATATGTTTGGGTGTAGTCTTTGACAACTAAAACGCTCAATTGCAATATTGGGATGATATTTCACTATGTAGACCTAACGACAACTGACAGACTGCTTATGCAAAGGAAGTGTAGTAATGTCTCATGTTCAGTTCTCATAAAAGGCTTTCATTTTCACATTCATAACTAGTTTCCACCCAGGAGATGTCATTGTCTGGTTCAAGGAGTTATGAACAAATACAAAAGACATAATTGATTCAAAATAACGAAAGAATGAAGAAAGTCGATGCAAACTGCAATTACAGGTACCTTTCCTCAACGCAATAATGCAGATCATAAGAGGGTGAACTAGCTAATGGCTCATAGGGCAGAACCTTAGTAAAATCAGACGATAGCTGTGAAGCTGAAATATATGGAACAACTTGTCTGTTTTTGAAACAATGATAAACCTGCAAGGGAGGAGTCGTACCTAGAGAGGAATAAGACACACAGTCTGGTTCAATGGGTAACATGAGCTCCCCTTGTCTGGGAAAGATTAAATTTAGAGAAAAAGTATATTCTAATGCGGAAAAGAAGTAAGATAACTCAAAAAAAGTAATATCAACACTGATATAGTATCGTGAGAAACATGATCATAACAACAATAATCTTTCTAAGTGCGAGACTATCCTAAAAAGGCACTCTTGATTGAGCGAGGTGAAGTTAAGATGAATAAATGTAACACAACCAAAGACACAAGGAGTGAGACCAAATGACAAATTATTTGGATAGAGTAATGAGAAAGGAGACTTATTGACTAGAATGGGGGAAGGCATGCGATTAATATTATAAACTGAAGTAAGAACAACATCAGCCTAGTATGGTTTTATCCTATGCATGTTAAACATTAAGATGCGGCAACATCGAACAAATGACGATATTTATGTTTAGCAAAAGGTTTTCATAAATGATTGGGTGTATTCAAGGGCATTGTTAGACCTGAAAACTTTAATACGTTTATCGAACAAAACCATAGTTTCATCATAAAAAGTGATAAAGATCTTAGACAATTCAGATTGGTCTTTCATAAAAAATAACTAAGTTATACAAGAGAAATCATTAATAAAAATTACAAAATATTAAAAATCAGAAATACTTTTGACTCTAGCAAGAAGATTATCTAGGTCACGAATTGATTTGATACGTAGCACGGGTATGGATACATGGTACATAATTTCTTATAATACGTGATATGGTGGGGGTAGGTTTAGTTGATACATTGTTTTATGTCGTGAATCGTATTGTAACTTCTATATAGAATAATATATCCGTATATAGGTAGTTATGTTTATTTTATATTCACCAAAATAAAGAAATAACAAGAGAGTTATGATTTAGGGTTGGGGTTATAATGTGAGATTACTTAAGTCATGAATTAATTTTCCGTTTGAGTTATAATTAAGGTCAGAACTTTGAGCGAGCTGGATTGCGAACCCTCCCTATTTCGGGTCGTGTGCCCTCGGTTCATGGAGGATCGCAAACTCACCCTATTTCGGGTCGTGTGACCTGGTTCGTGAGACGTTAGGAGTATCTACGATCTTGGTATCTATGAGCAGGACTCCAAATATTTGTGTGAATAACATGAAAAGGACTAGATTGACTACTTGAAGAACTAGGAGGAAAGGAACTACGGTGATGCTTATCTAATTGACAAGTCTCACATTCTAACAAAAAAGAATAGCTCAAACCAGAGATTGATGCAACTTTACAAGGTGGGATGACCTAGTCACAAGTGCCACTGAAGAGGAAACACAAAAACATTCAAGGCTGGAACATAACCACCAAGATCTAAGTGTAGTAAAGGTCATAGCTCTCGTGTCCCAAACCAAACACCTTTGCAACCACACATGTAGAGTTACCTCCATTAGAAAACCAGTTGATGGGAATTGTGTCGGAATTGGATAGATATTATAGTTTAATTATGAAAGTTATTTAAATACTTTTTATACTTATCTTTTAAGTAATTTCTTTTTACTTATGAGGGTTTATTTGTCATTATTTATTTCTTGTAGGGTTTTAGTTTTCCTATATAAAGGGATCCATGTAAGAATTTTATTTAGATTATACTTTGATTATTATTGATTACTGATATTGAATTTTCTTCATCAAATTCTCTCTCATTTCTCATTCCCTTCTTCTTCCCTTCTCATCCATAATTCTTCCCTACTACGATCTACATCAATTTGGTATCAGAACTATTACGATCTACATCAATTTGGTATTAGAGCCTAATCTCAATTCAACATCGCTGCTGCCATTCATCTTTAATTAGTGGTCTGTTGCTGTTTGGATCCATCATTGTGCATCCAGCTGACCAGCGTTCATCAAGCTGAACATCAGCATGCCCACCTCGAAGGGCTGTTGATTTAAATAGTGTCAATCCATACAAAGCCAAGAATTTTAGTGATTCTGGATATATCATCCTGCCTCCCAAGCGATGCTGCACATTATAGAGATTTCGATATTCTCTGAATGCCTTGACAATCTTTAGTTGCACAAAATTTCGAGCCTCTACAAAGTTGTGCAGGAGATCGGAGACAGAGTTGTGCACGGAGATCGAAGAAAGAGGTGTAAATCAAAGATTAAAAAAAAAAAGCAGAGTTGTGCACTGTTCACGCGCATAGTAAATCGGAGACCCTTGTTGGGTTTATCATATGTTAGTAATTGCCGGCGACCTTCAGAGTTGTCGCTGTTTTTCGATCATCATCGTAGTCACTGTGCTCTATCTGACGATTTGTGAGACTGGTTATCTGAGTGAAGTCCATTGTTAAGGAAAAAGACATTGGGTTTTAACCCTTTCATCCCAGAAAGTTTCAGAATTACAAGAACCTTCCCAAGAGGTTCAGAAAGTTGCATAATCACCTCCATAAGTTTTAGCAAATTGTAGAAATACCATCCAAAAGTTTTAAAATTATAGAAACATTCTAGCAGATTCAAAAAAAATTACAGAACCACCACAGAAAGTTCCAGAAGTTATAGAACTACCACCAAAAGTTTCAAAAATTACAAAATTTTTCCCCCAGAAGTTCTAAAATCGCAGAAACATTCCCAACATGTCCATAAAATTACAAAATCATCTCTAAAAAGTTTCAAAATTTCCTCTTGATTATGGTATGCATACTTCCATAGAAATTTGAGACTAATTTTTTTATTAATTGAAAAATTAGAGGATTTGCAAAAGGTCCAAAACGTATTTTCTTCTATTTAAGTTTTTTCACTTCTTTAATTATCAATTGCATTCTTGAACTCATTCTTATGTTTTTCTCATCTTTCAAGAGTCACTCATGAGTTCCTCTAATGCACATGTTTTAAGAGTTTCTCGTCGAGGTCATCATCCTCGCAAGTCTAGGTATGTCTACAAGGATTCAACACTTATGGTCAAGTCAATTAAAGATCCTTCTATATTTGTGGTACTCTGGATCCCAATCAATTTTTGTATTGGTTAGATAATTTAGAAGAATATTTTGATTGGCATAGCCTGTCGGATTTCTATTGCCTCCGTTTTGCTAAATTGATGTTGGAGGGTTCCGCTAAGCAGTATTGGCAAGTAATCCAAAAAAGCCTAGACCCATTAAGAGAATCACCTATCACTTGGGTTGAAATGAGATATAAATTGAAACAGAAGTATTTACCTACTTCCTACATGGATCAAGTTTATGACCAATGGTTTAATATTAGACAACATTCTTCTAGTGTCTCTGATTATTTAGCTCAGTTTAATTATCTCATGTACTTGTGTGACATTGTTGAAGAACCTTGGACAATTGATCAGTTTATTCTTGGGTTGAGACACAACTAGTAGGGAGGTCAAGTAATACACTTTTAATACGTTAGTTGTAGTCTATCAATATGCTTTAAAGGTTGAGAGATTTCATAAGAAATCTAACTATAGCTTGATAGATTCTCAAACACAGCCTGCTGATAGAACATTTTTTAATTTTAATACCATTACATATGAGTATCATGATTACTTGAATGATATTCATGTTGTTTTTGCATGTTTTCCTAATTCTAGGGTGACCATGGATTTGGATGACACATTCTCACATATAAAAAAAGATGTAACTCATGTCGATTATCAATCCCCTTGTCCAGTCTTATCAGATCAGGGCTCGCCTCCTTCATATCAACAAAAGTCAATTCGTGAGAAAGTGAGTTTGAGCCTTTGTCAGAATTAAATGTTGAGTCATCATTTGTAATGGAACTTGCTGAAAAGTCTATCGAGTCCACACTTATGAAAGATGTTGAGCATATTGAGTGACCTATTTTAGAATCTTTTGGTGATTGTTTTGTGTCTCCTATTTCAAGTCAATCTAACTTTGTTTACAAGTCTTTCCCCTTTGAAATAGTTGACTTTGTTCCTACTATCAAGATTTCACTTGAGTTGGTACTTAATTATTTTTACCACCAATGCATTATTGTTACTCTTTTCTCATCGATGTCTTGTCCCATTGAATATTTTTTGTTGAAATCTAATGAGAATTATTTTTCTATTCTCAAGTTTTGATCTAATATTTATTTGCTTAATTTTCTATTGAATGTTAGTATTAGTTTAGATTTTTATTTGGAGGACATACTACTTAATTGAGGTACTCCAGAACTTTCTATTTTGTTATTCAGTGTTTCTACAGGTGTAATTGCTTCTTCCGCAGCACTAGCTCCAGTTCTTATCTTTCTACTTCCATCGCATATTTCAGGCCAAATAGATGATGTACTACGTGACCAAATTTACATTGCTACAGATGAAAATTCTTACATTTATTTTGATCGATGAAAAGATGTTGATGGTTCTTTCATTCTAGATGAGGCGTTCTGTCATCTTCATGCTGTTCTTTTAGGGTACTTCTGCTTTGAAGACTCTCTGGAGGAGATTTTTTTTCAACCGGAAGAGAATGATGGAGATCGTGTAAGAATTTGATAGATATTATAAATTAATTATGATAGTTATTTAAATATTTTTAATATTTATTTTTTAAATAATTTTTTTTAACTTATGAGGGTTTATTTGTCATTATTTATTTGTTTTAGGGTTTTAATTTTCCTATATAAAAGGATACATGTAAGGGTTTTATTTAGATTATACTTTGATTACTATTGATTACTAATATTGAATCTTCTTCCTCAAATTCTCTCTCTTTCTCATCCCCTTCTTCTTCCCTTCTCATCCTTAATTCTTTCGTACTACGATCTACACAAGCTATTACAATCTACATCACCGGTAGTAGGAATAATTGAATGTGTAGAAAATGAAAATAATTGTTGAATGATCTAACAAAATGAGAAGAAAGATAATCATGAGAATCAGTAGTAAATGCAATTGGACCATTGGTAGAAAGTTAGATATGATCTCTGATGTCCTTGAGAACCCGAAGTATCATTAAAAACCTGATTAGCATATATTGGTCTCTTACACTTATCCCATCAATAGTTCTCAGTATGCCCTTTGCCACTGCAATAAGTACAATGTCACTTAGAGTGATGACCATGACTAGAACAACCACTACATCCACTACGTCCTGTGTGTAGATCACCACGGCTGACATTATAGGGCACACAACGGCCACCACGAACACCACCATTACTACCATTCAAAGTCTTGAGCAATAAATTTATAATTAATTGTTCATCAGTTTACTATTCACACATGACACTGTTCACGAAACACTGTTCATTATGACCACTGTTCATTGATGTCCAAGTTCATCATCAACCATATAATCAAACACTATATTCTGAAACCATTCAAACAAAGGCTAGGAACTAATGTCCAATCTACCCAAATTGCAATTAGAAGAAGACAACTGGATGGCAAGTAAGAAAAGACTAGAATCAATGCTCTGATACCAAGTTAAGTAAAAGTTACAATATTATGTTAAAAGAAAGCGAGAAGAAGATAAAGATAGAGGAAGAGAATGAGAGAAGATGAGAATAATCTGTGTGTAGGCTAATGTTGCTTTATTCCCTCTTATTTATAATAAACTGATATTATGGGTAATTACAATATTATCTTACATTACTAATAATATAAAATAAGAACCCTAATAGGTACAAAGTAATGACTATTTTTCTAAAGGTGTCTTATTTTCGGTCCTTATTTAGCTATGAAATTTTCTGAAGTTTGGAATTTCACTTGAAAACTATCAAGGATCCGTTAAGTTCATATCTTTTATAGCTACTTATGTGGCAGCTCGGTTTCTCAAGATTACTTACTTGTGGAGAAAAAATTAGAAACTCCTAGTTGATGAATGTTGTTGTAAGCTTTCTTAGCGGTAGTTGCCTAGTGTAGTGTTGAAATGCTTGGGCGGACAATTGAAAGGTTGTGGGTTTGAATGCAAGGTCATTTATTCCATTTAAATTTTACCAAATGATGGGTTTATACCCTGTCCACCCTTCCTATCACCCTAGTTCTTGGGGACCGAGTTGGGTTATGGCTTTTACGTTAAATGTCTTATAAGGACGGACTAAGAATAAAAGATCGTATAGTTGTATAGAAATGCCTAACTATTCTTAGTAACCCTCATATCTTGTTATGGTGTTTCTGTGAAGCATAAACACCAACAAGGGACACGGATGAGGCTTGACATATATCCGATAACTCCAAAAAAAAAGTATGACACGAATATGTTTAGGATATTATGCAAATAGTTGTATCTTTTATATTGAATTATGTAGTTTATATAGTTGTATTATGAATTTACATAATATAAGAATACCATTATTTTCTAATACCTAACTCTTAGCTAGTACTCTATCATGTACCATAATTGCTAGAAAAAGGGCGGTCTAGTGAACAAGGCTTCTGCCACTACAAAATTTGAGATGGATAAGAAGTACACATTTTTAACAATCACCAATTTTCTTATAGACAAAGTATAGCAAACATACTTGGGTGCAAGGATCAAAATTTTGTTTTGTTGCATTGTTTCAGTCACCTAGGAAATGAAAATATTTTGACGTGTTTTGGAAACATTTTGACCCGTTTCGAAAATAGAATAAAAAAATAAAAAATTTAAGAATTATTTTTTCAAAATATTGGTCAAAATATATCAAATTTTCTTGAAATACCTTGAAACATTCCGAAACAATTGTACAAATGCATTGACAATTGCAAAACATCTCAAAATATTATAAAATATCTCGAAATATTAGAATTTAGATTCCATCACTGATTCATTTCAGTCTCTTTAGAATCAGAAACGTTTCAGACAGGTCGACTGTTTTGAAACGAAATTTTGATCCCTGCTTGGATGTTATAATTCCTCTCATCCTCCAAACTCACTTTTCATGCCTTTTTCAATAAATTTTAATAGATCTTTAGTACAGTTATTTTTTGCAGTCATATTTTTTCCATATTATAAGGTCATCATGTCAAATATTCAAACATTGATAATTATATGTTAGCAATTTTCCAAGATGTGTCCGCCACATGTCTATCTTTAATCATAAGACTCGTCATTTTGTGCGCATTGCCATAGGTGTGGCTGTGCAAAATTATTTTTTTATTTCTTATAGTGACGTCTCCAAGATTTCAAACTTTGGTAATTACATTGTTAGAAGTCTCCAAGTTGCCTCTGCCACATGTTTATAGTTTACTAACTTTGGATGTGTTGGCATGGGTATGTTGGATATATATCTGAAATTAGTATTAAAATGGTTTCAGGCATGTGTTCGAGACTTTCTGAAAAGCATTGATGTCCGACATAGACACGCCAGCGTCTTAAAAGACTGTCTGTAAGAAGAGGAGAGCATTTTGTGCAATGGTGTAGGTATATAGATGATGGAAGAAGAAACTTCTTAGTGCAATCGATATCATAAAGCGTTTTCTAGGTCCGATAACCTCTAAGATTTGTGTGTTGCAAGAGAACTAGCATATGAATATTCCTCTCGTCATCCACTCATCCGTATATGTATCGAAGAGAACATTCCCTTGTTCTTTAAGGTTCCCTATCTTTATAGCTTCTGGCTATATTTACCAGCTCTCCTATCCTCTATAATCTCCAGTATGTCTGCTAGATGCTGCACTTGTGCATTTTGAATGGAAACACCATTGGATTGTGGTCTTGAAGAAGTTGATTGACACCTATAACTCGAAATACAAGGAAGCTATTTCTTGCATGAGCAATGTTGACCAAGACCAACTCTGTCTCGCAACTTATGTGCCATTTATTTGTCACCTTTTGATTTGATGAACCAAAGAAATTCCGAAATTGAAAATGAATTACTAAGCCAATCTGTTGTTGAGTTGATGGATTGTATGAAGCTTCAAATGTTAAGAGTGAGGTTTGTCTGTCTTTCCATTTAACTCGAAGGTGCCTCGGCTTTGTCAAATGTGTAAATAAAGCCTCTTTGACTGAAAGGAGAGCATGAAGACTTGTCTCTTGCAGTCAAAGCACCAGTCTCTTTGTTAAGTGATTGGAATTATTTAGTGTAGTTTTTATTGAATACTTAGGGCCACAGGCAGTGATGGATAAGCTGCTGTTAGCCTTTTAGCTATTGGATGTGATAATTATATTAGCTTTGTTGACGACTCTGAGGACAATATAAATCCAGCTTTTAGGGAAGTAAGGGAAAGGAACTGATGGAAAGAGCTTGTTTTGGAAGGTGGGTTGCGGTGGTTTTTTTTTTTTTTTTTGTTGTTGTGTGTTTGGTGTTTTTTTTTTGGGGGGGGGCGAGTGAGCGGAACAGCTGTGTTGGTTGATCATTCTCCTTTAGGGTTGGATGCTTAGGGTTTCAAATTCTAGTAGCTAAGTCATTTTTCCAGTTTTTTTGCTTGAGCTGCTAGGTAACAAGGGGAACTTCTTAGTTAAATTTCAAATTTTATTTTTTTTTCCTTAATTTTTTTGACAATTCAGTTGGTAAAAACCAGAAAGTGGGGGCAGATTCCGACTACACAGGAATTACACCGGGTAGCAACCTGGTCAAATGGAAAATCCAAAGAGCCCAAATAATGTTCAAAAGAATTACTCAAAAGTTTCTTTTCAAAGCTTGTTCACCAGAAACTAAGTTTCTTTTCAAAGCTTGTTCACCAGAAGCTCTATCCATTCAGATGAATGTTAGTTCCTGTTCTCAGATTCTGCATTGACACAAGGTAGCTTTATCCCAGACCACTGGGTTCCCTTCTCCCTAACCAGATGCTCCTTGCAAAACCACAGGTTCTGGTGATTTAGGCATGATCAATCTCACCACCAAAGATTGAAAGCAACAAATCTACAATTCTCAGGTTACCTTGTGGTGAAGAAGACTATGATTTACAGACTCCACTGCCCCTTACACACGTATACCTAACTGTCCAAAAGTTCCTCCTCCTCAAATGAACAATTGTAAGGATGGTCTCCCTAGCTGTGTCGGTCCAAAGAAAGCCATCTTTGAGACAGTTCTAGTACATCAAATGCTTTTACAGGGTACGTGTTATCTGCTTCACCACTTAATCAGTTGTAGATGACCTAACTGCTAGTGCCTATCCTTAACTCACACTCCACTGGAGGGAAGTCCTTTACTTGGAGCCGCTTACCATAGACCATACTTATTGAGGCTGCAACCAATTCTTGTTCTTAATCATGAAAATTCTTGCATATTATGGGATCCCATGTAGTATTATCCTTCCAATGCATCCTTTGCTTGAAAGCACTGGCATTCGTATCAGTTGCCAATTATACAACACCAGGAAAAGCCTCTTTTGAATAAGCTTCCCCATATGCCTAATCATGCAAAATATGGATCTGGTCATTACCGCACTAAAAACCTGATATCCTAGGACAAAATCACACATAAGAATGTAATTCCAAAACCCCACCCATGAGACTCCTCACATCCCAAGATGTAAGAGCTTCTTGATCACAACCTTGCTTCTTGTCAATCAACACGCTTACAGCACCATTTTCCTAACAATGCTGGGTTGAACTGTCTTAATATTTTCACGGCATCCCTCCGCCACACCAGAGGATGCCTCTCCTGCTCCAACCTCTGGTATTTAGTAAGCTCTAGTTTGTCTAGTCAGGAATCCTTTTTTTCCATTCCTCCTTTTTATTTATGTACTTCCCCCATCCCTTTTTCATCATTTCAATTAAATGAATTTTTCATATCCTTTATTTTTTTAATATGACTATGATAGGTTTTTGATGGATACATATGAATGCATGTGTCAATTTTGAATGAAGACTGACTGATTCTTTTTCTGCAATGCAGAGAATGCATATCTTGGAAGCATTGGAGGCATTTAGTGACACGACTAACTTCCTTCAAGCTCAGCGTGATTTCACTGAGTAAGATATCACTTCATCAAATAATCGATTTACACTCCTTGTAGACCGTAGTTGTTGTACTGGAAAAAAACTGCACAAGAAGGTCTATGGTTCAAGTCTGTATAACCACGTGTTTTTTTTATAGTGGGTTCGTTTGGATATAAACCTATAGTTTTAGCATTAGTCTTCAGACAAAACCAACAGAAATAGGAAGTCAGTTGGTGTGTTATAAGCCTGACTTGAAAAGTACAACAAACTCTGTACACTGATTGCAAATGCGATGTCCTTGAATTATGCATGCATCATCGATTCATTCCTTCATTAATTGTATAAGAAAATGTCAAGGTGCTTCTGCAAGGCTTAATTGCGGGTTTTAACAAACGTTGGCTTTTTAACATCAACTGAACTATATCTACCATCTTTAAAAAGGAGACCACGCTGATATTGGAGTTCTGAGAAGTCACAACCTGTCAGTGTCATATGTTTGACCGTGTGGAACAGATGTTGTTTATACGAATTTGTCCTTGGACTGAGATGCGTATTAAAACCTTCTTCCCATTTTAAAGTGTGGTCCCGGAGAAGGAAGACAATGTTTCTTTAATAGCAATTGAAGGTTTTGCTAGAAAAGCGCGAACCTGGAAAATGGTTGCTTCCATAACTTTTTGTGATACTTGGGAGGATTTAAATGCCGTATGCGTTGGTAAATAGTCAAGAAACATCCTGAAGTACATACTTCATTGGATTTTATTAAATTTTTCCGGGAAATTTGGGGGGAAGGTAAAAAAATAGAGCAAGATTGTAGAGGATGATGGGCAAGGAAGATCTAAAAATAAATGGCAGATCACAATATTGGTTTTACCCTTCACAGACTTGCTACTCTGCTTTTGCTGCTGTTCTATCATCCTCAGTTGGCTTCTTTTGTAATCAGTGCCAAATTTATGGTTGGATGGTTTTATTCTGAGAGTTTCAGGATGAATCTTATTGTATTTCTATTTTCTAGTCATGCATAAGGCAGATATGGTTTAAGCTTGTTTTTTTCGTCCCAGGGATGATTATGAAATGCTATTGGCTCTTGATGAGAACAATCACCATAATGGTGCATCTCCTGATCAGATTAATGGCTTGCTGCAGTCAAGAGTTCAGGTATATCCAAACATGGCTGCAGATAGGCATTTGCTTGTGTTGTTCAAGGTGCCAGGCTGTCAGATTTGCATGTTAATTATTGATTACTCTTTTGTTCTCTGCAATGCAGAGTGATAATTTTGAAGAAGTTTGTGCAATCTGTCTTGAAACTCCAACAACTGGAGACACCATTCGGCATCTCCCTTGCTTACATAAATTTCACAAAGATGTAGGAAAGCCTGACTTTGCTGTGTTTCATCTACTTTCAAAAGATCTCACCAGTTAATGTAACTTCTTTCTAATTTATTGCAGTGCATTGATCCATGGCTGAGAAGAAAAACATCATGCCCAGTTTGCAAGTCATCCATTGCTTGATATGCGGTATTAATCTCCGTGCTCCATGTCATGGTGCAGCAAATGGAATTAAATCTGCAATCAATCTCAATCTGAGTATCGAGGTATATTACCTTGTGCCTTTTACTGCCTTCAAAATTTTTTGTCATTATTTCTTGTGCTTGATGGCAGGCTACACTTTTTTATTTTTGTTTCACTAGAATTGTGAACAAGGAAAAATATTCAGTTGGTTTGTATTATTCTGCAAAAAAACTATGGGATAATCTCCTAAATGGTATATAAAGCTTTTGGAAATTTGTAAATGGTTATGCTCAGTATAGCCCTTTAATTGGGGTTGAAGCCCTCTTGTATCTGGAGCAAGCCGGACTGCCTATGACCAAGCATAAGATAGATGAAATCAAACTTTTGCATGGGCATGAAATTTTGGATGATGGATTTATGTTGGAGCTCAACGTTACCAACAGTCAGGCATGGGGATTGGTTGCAGTCGTTGGAACCAGATGTCTGACAATGCCGATGGGAGAAATGGGTATATGGTAAAGCACACTTGGGATTTGAGCGGTATGTTGCTTGTCTCTGCATGATTTGCATAGCAAGACACACTCTTGATTGTTCTTTGTCAAAATTCTGAACCATCTCTAATCACAATTGTTAATCCAGATACGCGTTTCTTAGTGTGTCCGGCTTACAAATTCTTGTACTGGGCTTTTTGAATGTGGTACACCTTGTATTTCAAACTTGTTCGTCGCAGTCATTCGATAGCCTTAATTTGTTCAACTTCTATCTAGAGACCCATTTGCATCAAACGTGTGTTATGGCCTGAGAAAGGGCTGGCTTGTAGACCATACCTCCGGGCACAAGAACTGAACCTTATATTTGTTATACCTAGTCCCTTATCTACCTAGAACGCCCATGCGACCAGGGCAAACCTTGATATACGCCAAGACAAGAAAAATCAACGTTACTATTGCCTAGAGATGCGGCCTGTGGTTTGTTGGCTGACTGGACCTTTTTTTTTTTGATTGGAAACATGAGGACTTTATTAATTTAAAAATGATGTAAACGATGAATCGAAGAAAATACGGATAGATAAGATATCCATTCATGAAAAGAAAAAATAAATCTCAGCTCATAAAAACTATGTATAACATGAGGCTTTCCAATTTGTCAAGATACAAGAAAGTGGAATATCATCTAACTCCTTGGAAACAGAAGTTCACGACGACTCAAAAAAATAAATGAGATACCATAAACTATTTTTACACTCCCGTTTATCTTCAAATATTCTTTAATTCTTTTCTATACATATTACCCTTATAGTAGGTACAATTGCACAATGTCATAGAATCACCCCTTTCTTATGCTTTCCTAGTTCCTCAAATTCCTCCACTAACATGGAGGAAAACGAACCTTTTGGAAGTTACTCTTTCTTATATTCATCATACCATCTCTATGTACTCGGTGACATTCTGGAGAGAATCGAGTAAGGTAGAGTCGATGTCGCTGGTCAGACATCTCTCATCCAATCTAACAGAAGTCTCCGTTTTCTTCCTCTCTTTTTTTTGTGTCGAGGCCAGCAATCATTCCATTAGGTTTTCATATAAGTAGGCATACGATTGTTAAGAGTAGTTGGTGTTTAGTGCTCACCATTTGTTGGTTTTTATTAGATTAATCATCTATATAATAAAGTAACTTATAATTCAAATTTTAAAAGATAAACAAAATGATTTTTATTTTGCGCAGTTCAGATTGCTTTAAATTTTACTTTACAATTAATTTAATGACTAATATTAACACTCTAAATTTAATAGGAAAAATAGACCTTTAAAGGTATGTTTGAAGTGATTTTTTAAAAGTACTTTTAGGAATTATTTCTCATAAGTACTTTAAATAAAAATAGTGTTTGAAACTGTCCTACCATTACCTCTACCACCACTGTCACCACCACCCACAACCATCGCCGCCGCCATCGCCACCACTGCCACCACCACCACTGTCGTTGCTGTTGCCACCCCACCACCCCCACTACTGTCACCACTACCATCACTGTTGTCGCCGTCATTCCCCACCATCATTGCTGCCCCCATCGCCGTCACCACCACCGCCATTGCTACCACCATCGCGGCCATCACCATCACCACTGCCACCGCCATCACAACCACTGCCGTCGTCACCACCACCGCCACAACCATCGCTATCGCCACTATAGTCATTGTCACCCACCACAACCATCACCGTCTTCTATTACCACTAATGTCGCCCATCACCTCTCATCCCCATTACAACTGATATATAAATTTATTTATCTTTCTTTATATTTGTGATTTGATTTTGGATATGAATATAAATATATTTTATTGTTTACCATTTTTTATTACATTGTGTCTTCAGACACAGACAATAACTAATCTTAAGTATTAGGTCTGTTTGGAGTTGACTTTTTTGGATGCGAAATAAAAGATTGAAAAGTGAAATGAAAAAATCAAAATTAAAAAAGCTCTTGGAATAGTTTGAAGTATTTCCGAAAAAGTCGATTTTTTCTTGGAAATCCTTGAAGAAGTCTCATTCTTCAATTTTTTCTTGATACTAAGGACATCTCCAATATTTACACAAATTTAGACTCAAATTTAAATTTGAGTAAAAAAGTTTAAGAAATTTACTTCAACCCTTAACTCAAACTTATACCAAATTAAGAGAAACTCATTTTTTACTCAAATCAAGGAAGACTCAAATTTTTGCTCAAATCTTTAATGGTGAGATTTCACCATCTTTTAAAGATCCAATGATTATCCTTATTCTCTTTTAAATTTAGATTTGCCCTCATTTAAATTTGAATCTCTCCTTCTTTAAATTTGAGTTTGTTCATTAGAGTCTTTTATATCAAATTAAGCTTTTTACTCAAATGTTAATTTAAATTTGAGTCATGGTTGGAGATGCTCTAATAAAAACTGTTTTTGCCCAAAAAAATTAATGAAAAAGTCCCCAATAAGTTCAAGTCTAATCGGACTATGTTTTTTTCCCTTTGAAACAAAAAAAAAGGTTTTTTGATTGTTAGTACAATTTTTTAGATTTATTTGAGAAAAAGTATATGAATAAATTGTTTACTCTATTAAGTTCAATTTTAATAAAATATATTGTGTTTAGGTAAAAAATTCAAATGAAATCAAAATTGCTTTACCTAAATACCCCTCTTAAATTGTGCATTCTTGATTAACAATTATATATCTAATCAAGTAATTAAAGATTTTATTAGACTCTCTCACTATCCCCTATTTTATGTTCATCGCTCTCTCTTTCCCCCTTACTTTTCTCATCTCTCCCCTATTTTCTCTCTATATCTATCTTTAATAATTTATTTTCTTTTCAAATATGTAAAGATTTGATTTATTTTTTCATCTCTCTCCCTATTTTCTCTTTCTTTCTCTCTCCCCCTTATTTTTGCTAACCATTTCTCTCTCTCTCTATTTTCTCTCTCTATTTATATCAACATTACAACAACATAATTACACTAATCAGTTACACCAATCCGTTACAATTGTCTTATAATATACCAAACAGTTATTCATATACTCTAATAAACCAAACAATTACACTAAATAATTATACAAATTTATAACATCAACCCAATTTATTATTCAGTTATTTACATAAATTAAATAGTTACACTATTTAGTATCACGATATCGTTACACCAATTATATATATTAAATTTAGTTTAATGATAAAGTCTTTTGTGTAATGTTAAATCCAATTTGGTGTATAAAATTGGTCTAACCATGTTGTGAGACTAAATAATGTAACTCTTTAATTTATGTAAATAACTAAATGACAAATTGAGTTGGTATTGTAATTTCGTATAATTATTTAGTGTAACCGTTTGATTTATTAGAACACATGAATAATTGTTTAGTGTATTATAGAGTAATTATAACTAATTGATGTAACTGACTAGTGTAATTGTGGTTTGTAACATTGATATAAGTAGAGAGAAAAAGGGAGAGAATAAGAAATAAGGGGAGAGGGAATGGGGGATAGAGAGAAAAAAAATAGGGGGGAGAGATGAAAAAATTAAATCAAATATTTACATATATTAAATTTTTTTTATCAATATGAGAGAGAGAGAGAGAGAGAAAGAGAGAAATAGATAGAGAGAAAATAGGGAAGAGAGAGTGAAAGAGTAATAGAGAGAGATGGAGTGAGAGAAGGAGAGAGAGAGTAATAAATACTTTTTTTAGTCTTTTTTCAAAAAAATACACTGAGGGCCAAATAAATTTCTTTAATGTAGTTTAGCTCAAATAAGTCTAAATTTTTGTACCAGCTTCCAAATTACCCAAAAAAAAAAAAAATGAGGTTTTACGCCAACTCCAAACAGGCCGATTGTGACTATTGGATTGGCTATTTCATTTAGTTAAGAAACACCTTAAATGGTAAAAAAGACTGTAAGAGAAGCTTCAGCCTTACCATTGTCACGACGGGATTGTGCCGCCACGGCATAGCCTGTTGTCGACCCTTAACTCCGACTTCAAAGTTTAAACAGATCATGTCAGATTTGTTGTTCATTTTGGTGAAAGAAGCACTCTAATTGATCAAAACGACTGTAAGAGAGGCTTGCCCGCCATCGTTCTCGCTCAAGTCAAAGCTCAATTTGCTAGCTCAAGTCGTAAGTAAAATAGTGTAGATCCAGTGACAGACGAAAAAGAGAGGGTTAGACTAGAATGCAAGACTGAACGACAAAAACATTTGCTTTCGCAGTTAGGATTGCGACTTTGCAAGTTTCCAATAAAAAGTATTGGTCGAAATCTGATTTAATTTATCTGAACTATATCTGAATCATTCAAGTTTTAGACCTCAACAGATTATCCCAAGGTTTCCCAAAATGTGCACAGAATCTCCAAACACTACTCCCATTAGAAAGAAAAAAAACTCGACATGAACAATACCCTCCCATTAATGCATACACATTTCTTATATAGATTCACTTTGGATCGAATGAGCACATTTATTGGACTATCGTTTTTCGTACACAGGAGAAAATAAAGAGGAGAGGAAAGAGATTTTCAGCAGGTTAATGGTTACAAACCTGTCTACCTATTTAATAAAAATTAAATTTTCTTCTCTTTTCCCCCTCTTATTTTTCTCTTTATCCACTTTCCAACTATAAATTACGTAGTTAAAATATAAATATTGCACGATAAATATTTAATTTTTGGTATTGCAAAGTATCATCAAATACGGGATTATTGCTTGTACAATAACAAGTTACAAAACCAATCCTGGATTATAGCTTTATTCCCCAAACAAATTATTACGTTGCTTTAATGGATATCCAGGTCCTAGGTATAACATTATGAATGAAAGTGGCAAAAGGTGATGGTGTGTGTTCCAGAATTTAGCGAGCATCCTTAGATAAAAGATTGTTGGTTTCAATTTTTCGAGCATTACAGAGCTCATCACAAGAATCTCCTCTTTCGAAAACAGCAGCAGCACCCATTCCTGTGCCTGCAGTTTAAGTTGCATATGTCATCAACATATAAAATCAGAGAGATAGATTGGGTTTTTTTTTTTTTTTTTTTTGTTGGGGGGGGGGGGGGGGGGAGGTGGTGTACCTATACACATTGACACCACACCGAAGCGGCAATCTCTGCCACGGCGTTTCATCTCATGCAGTAGAGTGGCAACACAGCGAGCTCCTGTTGACGAAAAAAACATGCAGCTCATAACAATAAATACCGGACCAAGGCATCAATTGGTAAATACGTAGGGCCTCAGAAAATATATTAGACTTTCATCCAGGGAGCCATAATTTAATTTTAAGGGGCCAAATAGAAACAATGGCACAACAAATTTTTTTATTTAACCGAGTCCTTCAACTTGGTATCGTGAGTGTCAAAAAGTTTAAATGATATAGAATTTATCAAAACCAACTTTCATATGATACAGTGATAAAAGCTTTTTGATACAGTAGGTAAGAACACAAGAAGATAAGTGGCTCACCAAGCTGAAAAGCTAGTTTAGTCCACTGTAAATTTTAATTCACCCAGAAAATTCCAGTAACTGAAACTATACTCTATTGAACATCTCTAACCAACCCAACAATTTAAGCCCATAACAGCAAAGCATACATAAATCTAAATAGTGATAAAATGTATCATCAAATGGTTACACAAGAAGCAGTTATTTCTCCGACTGCTTGCAGTGGCAGGCGGCATAAAATCTCATGCCTACAGCCTTAAACACAGATGTTCTACCAATGAACTAAATGTGCTTTGGGTCTCAACCTGTATCTATCCATCAACAGCCACAATTGGCCATAATCCTACTCTATCATATGTGTAACATTTCAGGCTGACTAAAATTCACATGGAACATCTATGCTACTATATAATGCAGCTAGGTTCCTCATGAGTTGCCAAAAATGGCAAAATAAGAGGGATCACAGAAGGAAACCACCTCTTTGTGGTAAACGGACTTCTGGATAACACTTGTCAAATCTGACCAGCTATATATGCACAATTTGTCCTTCTCTTTTGTTCATCCTGCTCTGCAATTTCCATATTCCAATCAAGTTTTTAACTAAATTGCGACACATTTCCATGCCTAGAGTCGTTTACCGTAGGAGGGTAGTGGACACACAGTAGTAAACATAGCAATTGAAGATCTACATCTCAAGTGCCAAAAAAAGCTCGCTCATGTGATTTCATGTCAATAAGGTCGTATGCATCAAATGACCAATCTAAAATTAAGAAAAATAACTACAAATGGGGTGCACAGTGCAGTGCAGTGCAGATTTGAAATCCTTTTTGAGGTGGGTGACACATAAGAGGCACTTCCACTACAAATGACAGTTCAGATAAATGAGAAATTTCCAGAGCACAAATAAACTAAACAAATTACCCCAATAGCTTCAAAAATTAATACAGTAATCCCAAGATCAAAGTTTGTTTTCTTAAAGTTTCTGTTTAAAATACCTGTTGCTCCCAAAGGATGCCCAATGGCCATTGCACCTCCATTAACATTGATCTTTTCTGGATCAAGCTCCAGCTTCTTACGACAGTATTCAAATTGTGATGCAAATGCCTGTACAAAGACCAATAATAATGGAAAGCTCACTTTTTAAAAAATCATTAACACAAATCCTAAATAAAAAAAAAATAATAAGAAATGATCACGTATATGTTATATCATTACCTCATTTATCTCAAACAAATCAATATCATCTAGTTCAAGACCAGCAGACTTGACTGCAGCTGGAATTGCAACAGCTGGACCAACACCCATGATGGCAGGATCAACACCCACAGCAGCAAAAGTTCTGCACGAGAACCGCCAGAGTTTGCTTTGTTAATATTTTAGATGTCACCTGACTTTCTTATCTTCTATTCAAATGTCGCCCAGAGAAAGAAATGGAAGCTACAGCAGTTGATTCAGCAAGTGGTGCTCCATGGGTAAAAAAGCATTTAGAGCATTAGTGCATCAAAAGGATAAATATTTTAGAGACCCCCCCCCCCCAAAAAAAAAAAAAAACAGACCAAATGAGAACACAAAGGGCTAAGCATCAAGCAGCACAGATGTCACCACTAAGATGCACAACTAGTGATGAAACCGACCCAAGCACACATTAAAACATGGTTCATTACATTTCTAACCTAGCACAAAAGAGACCTCCGTAATCAATTCTTCATGAAGGAGATTTGTTAATAAAGCAGTCGTACTAAAGAAGTTTCAAGCACATGTTTAGACATTGATTAATCTACGACTACATTTTGTATGGCCAAATTGATTTCTGGGTACAACATTTCATTAACAATTGACAAGGATTTGATGGAAAATATGACCCCAGAAAACATATTAGCTGAAACTGCAACAAGATTTACATGGAATAGATGGAAAATACGACTCCAGATAGAGCTGATCAGAGAAGGATCCATGTAACCAAACCCAGTGCATTTCAGAATAAAGTTGGATTGCTAAGATGGGGGGACTTTAAATCTGCTAACACTAATTTTCAGTATCAATATAATGGTCATAGATTTTAAGGCCATCTGCATACTTTGTCCAGAGAGATGTAACAAAAGACACAAGCATATCCAAGAGCTAATCTAGCATAACTGCAGAAGCTTCAGAAACTACATTGAAAATCAACCTAATTGAGCTGAACCAAATCTATAGCATTGATCAGCTGCTTTGGTCGATCACAGAAGGGAGTCAAGGGACTGTCGCGCAGACCATAATGGAGAATCACACACACACACACACACACACACATATATATATATAGAGAGAGAGAGAGAGAATAAACTGAAGATCTGCATAGATTACAATGAAAAGGTATATAAGTCTTGACTTCAATAATTAAGTAATTATAGATTCCTATTTCTTTTTTGTATGTGTAGGCAGCTAAGAGGTACGGACACGAACACGATACAATACGGACACGCAAATGCGCAAATTTTAAAAAACGTAGGACACAGATACGTTGGCGATACGTTAAATAATATGTATTTATATATATAATCATGTGATAAAATAAAAATAGTTACCATATTTCATCAATTTCCAGGAGCACCAATTTGTAATCCCATTTTTTTCACATTAATTTCATATTAAAAGTTTATTCCATTTGTATATAAGTTTGTATTTGTATCCAAAATTATGTTACGTTCATGTCTTATACTCAATGTAATGATTACAACTTCTTTTATATTATGATTGTGACTCATATCCCTTTAAAATTACAAAAATAATTCTTAATTATAAAATTATTTGCAAAGTTCACAAAAAAATTGAAAATAAATCTCAAAACGTGTCCAGAGCGTGTCGGCCACGTGTCTTCAAAAAAATTTAATAATAAAAAAATCGAACACTCATTTTATCGTATCCGAAGCTTGTCCGTATCCCAGACGTGTCCAACACCGATACTCTGCTCAAAATGAAGTGTCCGTGCTTCCTAGGTAGCTACCTAGGAAGCAGCGGATTGACAAAACCAAGGTAGGGAGCCATTAGTAAAACCCATTCACTGCTTAAAGTTCATAATAAAAAGGTAGAAATAACCCCAAACCATTTAAAAGCTGGGTTTTTACTCGAGACTCTAGAGACCAGTCTTGTAAATTCTATCAGATAACTCCAGATGAGGTCAACTTACAAGTGTACCCAACAAAGTGGACTTCAAAAGCTGTTACTTTTATTTATCTCTGTGTCCATCTATCCATCCATCTCATCTTTTTTCAATTGCAATTTATCCTGAGAGAATAATTTATTAAATCGTAAACTATCCCTCGAACCTTGAGGAGAAATAAGGTCCATAATGGTACTTTTGGTGTCTGTAGTACATTTCAATCCAGGAAATTTGTCCTCTATATGAGCAAATTCTAAGTTCCCACAATTCTAAAGAATTTAATGTTTGGTTATGTTTGATAACAACAGTTTGTCTTTTAAATTAATAAAAAAATGTTATTACTCACTAGCCCCTCAGGTGCTGCAAGAGATGGGCCCTTCATAGGAAAATTTGCGTGTTTTTGTCCAGCTTTAAGATGGCGGAATAGTAAATGAGTTGTGCGAGGTGAAATAGAATGGATGAAGCTAAATATATCATAAGAAGGGGAGAGGAGGGTCAAAACAATAAGGTTTATAGGCTTATAACCAGCTGAATTTATCGCACACTAAAAAGTTCAAGAGTTCAAGATTCAACGGGAAAGTTACGTGCCTGAATACACCAAGAATTGGCAATCCTCTCTGCATCGCAACACTTCTCTTCATAAGCAGGACAGCTCCAGCACCATCACTAACTTGACTCGAATTTCCTGTACCATAAACGAAATGGAGTTGGTACAGCCAAAATTGATAAATCTCAAATACAATCAACATATGCAATATCTAAAATACCAGCAGTGGTGGTCCCATCTTTCTTAAATACTGGCTTCAGTTTTGCTAGATCTGCCGCAGTTGTGTTTGGCCTAATTCCATCATCAACAGAGATTGTAACAGGTTTCTCATCTCCGGTTTTTGGGTCCACAATCTTTTCCAATGAATTATGCATCAGGACCAACGCAACAATATATACTCATAGTGAGCCAAAAGACATCTGTCAGAAGATTAATGAAACTACAATAATATTACCTTGGTGTTTACAGGTATTATCTCATCTTTAAATTTGCCAGAAGCAGTTGCAGCAGCAGCCTTTCTATGTGACTCAACCTAAGAAGGCACATACGATCAAATTAAAAATCTATCCATGATGAAGTAACCATCAAACTGAAAGATTTATTCAACCCACCGCAGCCTGGTCTTGCTCCTGCCTTGTTACACCAAAACGGTGTGCAACATTTTCTGAAGTAACCCCCATTGGAAGAAGGCAATTTTGGGCATCTACCATTGTCTTAACCTGTTATTGTTACAGGAAAAACATGCCACCGCATAAGATCTTGTTGAGAGAAATTAATTCCCAAGAATTCTTTTTTTTTATAAGAATTCTTATGCAAGTAATGTGTGTGTGTGAGCGTTTGTTTTTTGGAGGGAAGGGGGGAAGAGAGAGAGAGAGAGAGAGAGAGGACGTACTCTTGGATTTACTGATCCTTCCCAAGCCATAGGGTTTGTAGTCATGGATTCCAACCCAGCACCAATACCTAATTAGATAAAAGTATAATCATCAGATCCCAGTAAAGATCTGCTCAGGAATTAGGTTTGCAGACGTATATCAAATTAAACATCCTCCGGAAATAGATGTGTTGTTACCAATGTCATAAAATCCAGCTTTGATAGCGGCAGCTACATCAGCAACTGCTTGAAGGCCAGATGAACACTGCCTGTTAACCGTTCTAACCGGCACAGTTTCTAAGCCACATAGATATCAACACACAAGTCATAGTTTCACTAATTCAAGGGTTCCCTTTTCTTTTAGATAGGAGACCCATTCAATAAATCTAAAGCACGCATAAAACAAACATACCAGGAAAACCGGCATAGAATGCAGCCATCCTACATTCACTAGCTCGCTGGGAGCCTGGTGCTAATACTGTGCCAACAACAATGTCCCCAACTTCAGCTGGGTTCAATTTCGTTTTCTCTATCAGTGCCTGAACCAAACCATTATTAGAAAGAATTAAACCTCAAAAAATTGCATCATCACAGCTTCAAGCCAAGGAAATTTAACAAGGGATGCAACAATAACAAACCCTCAAAACTGGAGCGAGTAAATCATCTGGATATGTATCCTTGAAACCACCCCTCTTTGACTTGCAAAGTGCAGTCCGATAAGCACTGTACAGTATGAAAAGTTAAAATTTTGTAAAATGCCATCTAAATAAGTATAACAAACACTTCAGCATATTACGGAACTTTAAGGTTGAAAAATATCATTTCAATATAACTTACGCTACAATGACTACATCATCCCCAAAATTAGAGCTCCTGTGGTATGCAGCACTATCACCAGCCAAACAAATAGACGCCTGATAGTGAAGATTGAAGACCAAGACTCAATTCAGCACAATCACCATGACATAATAAATAAAAGTTATTTCCCGTGTGCCTGGTTTTACCCAAAAACGAATATTCATTCGCATGTATGTATTCACCATTTATACACTGACAGAACTAACGCAATTAACAGAATAATCTAACTGCGCAAAGAGAACTTTATATCAACAAAGCATCACAGATGCCTTGGGCGTAGTGGTAAAGATGGGGCTGCTAGTGCTAAGCAAAGCCACCACCGTTTGAAACCCATTATCTACTTCTTCTTTTTTGTTTTGATAAGAAACAACATTTTATTAATAACCATAACAAAATATTCCAATCATGAATTTGGACAAGAATGTCCATTCTCTACTTTCTTCAACAATCAAAAAGTACAACCAACATAACCTCAAGAGTCAAGACAAGACTGCTGGCCTTATTATCATCTTGGCATGTCTTTAGGCACTTTTCAATCACAGAAAATCTCTCTAGGCTAGTTTTCTTAGGACAAGAAACCTACAGCCACGAAATTTGTCATCACTACTTGAGTAGCTTGAAAAAACACATTGTTCTTCCTTCACCTAAATTTTGTTTTATTTCGCAAGAACAAAAAATCCATGTTAGTATAACTCAAAACATCTGAAGTGGCCACCTTTTTTTTCAACAAACTATATTCAACATCATAGCAGTTCTATAAAGTTGCCTCCATAAACAACAAATTGTAAAAAAATTTAAAACCACACCAACCTGAAAAATAGTGGATATATGAAAATAGAAATGGATATTTTAATCCTAGCTTTTTAACAGAACAATCAACAATGGATCTAGGGGTGGAGGGGATCGACGGCCCACCCCAAGGTTTGAAAACTTCCTCGAAATTATGCTGTATATGCCAAGTGATTCCTACAATTATAAAGAGTTTCCAAGGGAAAAAACAGAAAAAAAAAACCATCTTTCACCTCTAGAACTGGCTGTTAAATATTAGTTCAAAGGCTATGCCCCTCGGACCTGATTCCTGGATTTTTTCTATTGACTGATTCCTGGATCCATCCATGAGTAACACCACAAACACACACGGACATAAATAAACATGTATGAAGAATGAACCTAGATCAAACCAGTTACAACAAAATAGCCAAATTCAATCGAACCACCATAAAGCAAACCAAATTCCATCAACACCGAGCAATGATTTTAAACACGATCATCAAAGTATTTGCAATGAAGTAGTGAAATTCAATCTAACTCTCATAAAACGAACCAAATTCCATCAAAATACGGCAACGATTCAGCTAAAATAAAAATAAAAACAACTCAGCATGTGTTCTCAGATTTAAAATTCAGTTCAGAAATTCGAATTACTATGAATAAACGTCCAAAGAACCAGTTAAACTTACAGATAGAGAAGAATCGAGGTTCTCGAGCGAAGAATAAGTGGAAGAAGGATGAAGGTGTTGGAGCAGCACTCTCTGTCTCTCAATTGCCCTCTCCATTTCTCTCTCTCAAACAGTATGCTGGTGTTGATGGCAAAGGATGGGTGAAATTGAGGGCTTGTTATATGTAGAGAGAGAGATATAAATGCGTTTGCGTACGTACGTATGTGTGTGTGTGGATATGGTATTGGAATTTGGGAAGTTGGAGAGAGAATTAAGAGAGAAGTTTATCCATAAGAGGGAAGGGGCCAAGATGGACCTGCCATTGCCATGGCGGTGTCCGATATTTGAAGCTTGCAAAATGATTTCGTTAAGTTTGAGGTAAAGTGTCTACGTCTCGTTTTTTGCGCGTGATCTCCACTCACGGAAATCAGGAAAAATAATATTGTTCAAGTGGCTCTTTTAAAAGAAATTGGACATCCCCGCATGGGGATAATCCAGATGAGTGAGAATGAATTATACGTATGACTCTTAAATTATGATTTTCATGTTATTTGAAATTTTGAATTTTTTTGTGTTAATTAAGATCTTGAACTCGTTAATTGTATCAATTAAGCGATTATGTTTATCTCTGTTAGATTTTTTAACGAAAAATAACAAAACGTGCCACTCACGTGGCTAGACCACGACTTATTTGTGTCACGAAAGTGTCACACTTTGACACTTTTCATTAGAAAATTTAACAGAGATAGACATAAGAGTTCAATTGACACAATTAGAGATATTAGACGTTCAATTGACATAAAAAAAATCAGGGACTAAATTGACACAAGAGTCATAATTCGAGAATCATATATATAGTTTACTCCAAAAAAACAAAAAACTTGGTCAAACTTCACTTTACCCTCTTGTGATATACCCCAAATGCTACCTCATTGCGTTTTAGAAATCTTCACATTAACTCTCACATGCTTAATGGACTAAAATGCATTCTTAACCCTATTAACAGAAAAAATAAAATGACATTAATACCCTTCCCTCTGACCTCTTCTTTAGTAGACTCCCTACAACTTCCTTCCAGAAAAGCACACAAGCCATTGTTTGCGACATTACTGCAATGCTTTGAGTTCAAAGTTAAAGGAAAAAATTTCAAATTCTGAGGTTAAAATCTATTAGCAAAAATAAATATAAGTACAATTAAAATTTGAAAAATCAAAATCAAAACATCACCATCGATGCCAAGGCCTTCTTTTTGCACCGTTATTGTGCCTCCACCACTATTCCTCTATTAATTTGAGTCTACAAAGATGGCGAGTTCAAAGATTGGTGGGTAACAATTAAATGGTTTTTGTTGAACTTTGGTCAATTGTAGTGGAAGATTTGATGGGTTTTTGTTAATTTCTTGTTGTAAATGGCTTTCTAGCTTAGAATAATTGATTGATTTGGACTTTAGAGGCTTTTAGGGGTTGCAATTATGATTCCATTATTGAAGAAAAAAAATTATTGCAATTTTTTTGTTGTGTGTGTATTTTGTGTGTCTGCGTGTGTGTATTCTGTGTGTGTTTATGTGTGAGGGGTCATCGGAATGTGTGCGTGTGTCTGGGTTGCCTGATGGCAAAAGTGAGGAGGAATGATAGAGATCAAGAAAGGGACGGTGCTATGCGTGTATGTGCCTGCTTACGTGTGTGGGTCGCTGGAATAAAGGGAGAGGGAGAGAGAGAGAGGGGTAACAGGTGATGATAGTTCTTTTTTTTTTTTTTTTTTGTTAGTTGGGAAAGGTAGTTTGGTCATTCAATAATATGTTTTTAGGACAAACTCTCACTTTTAGAGCATGAGGAGCACGTTTGGTTAAATTATACGAAAAATGTAACTATGCAGTTTAGTCCAATAAGCATATAGGGTTATGTGGGGGGGTTTTAAAATAGATAAAGGTAAAGTGTATTTTGGGTATACCAAAGGGGACAAAGTGAAGTTTACCCAAAAAACTTAAACAATATATATTTCAGTTAGACAAGATAATTTTCTTGAATAATTACGAAAGAGCAAAGGAGACTCTACCAATTATAAATTTTGAGACTTTGATGGCTAATGAGATTTTATTCAAATACATATATATGAATCTAATTGATTAGTGAAGACATATGAGTCTCATTATTCTACAATGTTAAAATAAAAAAAAAATTGGGTATAAACTTAACTTTTCTTAAGAACCAAAGAGAGAGAAAATAAATTAAAAGAAGAAAAAAATTCAATATTTTTTAATTTCTTCACTTTTTTTGCCCTTTTCACTTGTTTAGTAAGTATAAGAAAAAAAAATTACAAAGAGAAGATATTTTTTATTATTGAGTTGGAGCTTGAATTAAGTGTGTTTTGTTCAATTAGTGTCAAAATCATAAAAGTACTTCTAAAAATTAACAAGAAATAATATTAAGTTCAAAAAATATATCAAAGAATTCTTTAATACAAAAAAAAAAATATTAAAACAATGCTTTCAAAATTTTATCAGATTTTTTAGCTCTTTCAAATTTTTATCACATAATTTAGTAACTGTATCTTTCATAAATAAATTTACACGCGCTAGTAGGCGCGTGGTTTATGTTGGCACTGCCGTCGTATAGAGATGCGTGCCATTTTGAGGAATAGTCAATACACATCATCTAAGCGCTCACTGTTCTGTTCATATCTGAATCTATAACCGATGTACAGCTATTTTAAAACATATATATCAAAATATAGTATTTTTAATTTATTTACTAAAAATACGATACTTTTTAAAAGTGGAGTCCATAATTATATTTTTTGTTAAAAAATGGATTCAACATGCTTTTGTTAAAAAACGGGATCAACGATCCCGCTTTTAGATAAAAAAACGTGGTCCAAATTATTCAGCCTGAAACACATTAAAAGCGTGTTTAATAATTACACTTTTTAAAAACCGTGGTTAGTAGCCACGCTTTTCACGTGTTTCAACTTTCAACTAATCTGAAGATCCATCTCTGAAAAACTGTGTTTCAACTGGTTTGAAGTCTCTCTCTGGAAGCCAATGATTTCACCAACCACAAAATCAACAGCCCTCCCCCATTCCAACAACAACAAAAAAAATCAACATCTCTCTCTCTCTCTCTCTCTCTCTCTCTATATATATATATATGTGTGTATGTATATGGATGTGTGTGTGTATATGTGTATCAGTAATGAACTTGGGTGATGGGCGATGGGTTTAATCCCTTGGATTCTTTCTCTTTGCTTCTTGTTGTTGTTGCTGGTTACTTACCCCAAAAAAAATAAACTGGTCTGAAGACCCATCTCTAAAAAACAATCTCCATCTTTCCTCATTCTTTACCAAAACCCATCTCTAAAAAACCACAAAATTTTTCAAAACCAGCCATGATTTGATCGATCAATACCCCTCACAAATGGGTTTACCCAGAAAACCCTTTTGCCTCTTCTTTCTTTTTTTGGTTCTTAGTAATGGTTCATGTGAATATGTCAGGTGAAAGAGTGTGAATTCATTCCCTGTGTTCAGCTAGAAAGACATATCAGGGCATTTGGCTTTTATATTTTCTTCTTCAAGTGATGTATATATGTCTTTATCGCCTTCTGCAAGTGGGTATCCCTATGTTCATGTGTTCAGAGTGTTCATCTGAACGATGATGCCAAAAAGATTCTTGAATGGTACGTGCGATGAAAGACTATGCAAAGCGTGTTTAATAAACACGCTTTTCAGAAAAAACCGTAAAAACCGTGTTTACAAAACACGCTTTCTCATTGTCCAAAATTATTTTTTCCCCAAAACCGGGTTGTTGATTCTGCTTTTGAACAAAAATTGAATTATTGAATCCGCTTGTATAATTTGATAAATAAATTAAAAAATACCGTATTTTGGTATGTATGTTTTAAAATAGCAGTACATTGGTAATAGACTCGTTCATATCTAGATGTTGCGGATGTACGGCTCGTAGTAACTTATTAACCTACTCCTCACCAATCCTCCCGTTCATTCAGACAGTCATCTCACATGGAATAATTTGATTGGAATATATATATTAATTAAATATTTTAAAACTCTACCAATTAAACATTTAGAGAGAGGAATTTCCTAAACCTCATCCTACCTAATTTGATTTTTTTATATATATGAATAAATTTTAATTTATTTTATTATTTTTGAGATCAATGATCATAAATAAAACATCCATTGTGGTCCAAAGTTTATGTTGACTCACACCCCCCCCCCCCCCCCAAAAAAAAAAAAATCCAAAAAATGGTCCTAAGTTTCACTATCCAAATGTTAAACTGACCAAAAAAAAAAAAATGGGGACTAAATGAAGTGATAATGTTATAATAAAAAAAATTAAATTTTAAATGTGTAGAAGTAGAATCAACAACACGTAATACTATTTTCGGTCAATCTCAAGAACAAAAAACTCGTTTCGATACAATGCTAAGTTAAGGAGTAATTTAATCTTGATATCATCTAATTACTATGATACTAATATTTAATGTAATGGTAATATTACTTCATTATTGATTACATATTGCATTGTCTAGTAAGAAAATAGCGGATAATCATAGTGAATATCACTACTTTAATATCTACCGTATCTAATAACTAACACAATTGTTTAATTAGTAATGCATCATTTTCGTTACACGTAAATAATTTTTGTATACAAAATATTAATAAAATTTTGTAGGTATGTGTGTACTTAAATTAAACATCATCTCAAATTTATAAAAATTATGTTTTTATCGCTCATATTATATTATAAAATTTGAAAAATTTTGTTTTTTTTCAATGATCTGTAGTTTTAACTATAAGAAAAAAATATATTTTAAAATTCATTTGATTAGATTTTAACATATAATTGATTAAATAAAATAATAATTATTATTAATATTATAATCAATGTTTATTTTTTAAAAGGTAACATAGTCTTTTGAAAAATTTTCATAGATATTAATATTTATACAAAAGGAATAGAGAATTAAAAGAGATGTTAAGGATAGTTCGAAGATTTAAATACATACGAATATAATGATAATTTAAATATTTAATTATTAAAGAATAATACGGTGTTTAAAATTTTTTATAAGGATAAAATAGTAAATTAAAAATTTTTAATTTTAAGATATTTTTGTGAATGAGAGAATTATTCTCAGACTCTTTGAGGTTTATTACTTAATCACTCAGATCTATTGACATTTAAAATATTATACATAAACCTCTTGAAATTTGTACGCACGTAACACTTAGACCCTCCTAAAGTTAAACTCTCCTAAAGTTTGTGACTATATAATACTTAGACCATTTAAGTTTAAAATATTATACTTAGACAAAAAATATTCCAATCAAACATAAAATATAAAATATTTTAAATTTTATAATCAAAATTCA